TTTAGAAAACACGACCGACAATCAATTACCAGCAAGAAACGTTACATGGAAAAAGCTTGAATAAACGTTTGACCTAGTAAAGACAAACCTGGCGAGGGCTTTCACAATATAAAGACGTTACTAGAATCTTCGGCACAGAGACTGGAGACCGACAATTAACGACAAAATTATGAAGAAAGATTACAACCTTTCAAACGCAGCCAGAAATTTCAACGCTAAACTAGCACCAACATTTCTTGGTCCATACACCATTAGTAAAATGTGTTCAAAAGTAATTTTTTAGTTACAAAACCCTAGAAGCTCACATCAAAGACCTCAAACCCGCCTATGTCAATCTATCCTCGCCATAAAGACCACATTCCTTATCGTCTCAGCTAACACAATACCTTAGAGTGTTAAATAGAACATTAAAAATAGCAATATCACGAAGATGTCGCAAGAAGACGTTTTAATATTAAACGAAGACATGAGTTTCCTTTCCAGTTCTGAATTAGAATAGTTAGAAAAAGAATGGCAGTCTACAAAAACACTGTCACCGCTTCCGCCAACACCACCGCAACGACGCTTACCACCAACACCACAACAACAATACTTGCCACCAACACAACTGCCACGACGTTTACCACTTACGCCAGGGAAAAACAGTGAGATAATTTCAAGTACGATAGCCAAATTTAAAAGACTGTTCGAGGAGCCGCCGCCACAGGTTAGTGCATCCAACAATCGGGCTTTAGCAGACATTTTAGTTCAAAAGACTTAAATGCACTGAGCTAAATGCCATTTACTCAATGTTTCGTGTAATATTTGTTATGTTTATATAATACTATTGAGTAATAAACGTATTTATTTTTATTATTATTATTATTATTATTAACATGGGAGTCTCACAATTGCAGCCAAGCATAAAAAAAGCTTTTACCGCCAGATTTCAAAGGAAAAAGTACCAGGTAAGCCACGCCGAATCGACGCACGAAACATATTTTGGGAAAGAACATTTGAAGACACGACAAACTGAAATTTAGCCAGATCTTTTTCATGTATTGTAAATATTGTTATCTGTATATAAATTGTTAGAATAAAGTCTTATTTCCAAAGAGCTCTGTCTCCGACTGTCTAAAATCTACCCGCTATCCAAACAAACCACAGGAGTGGCTATAAATATAACTATAAAACTAATTTTGCATATAGACGGATTGCATATATACTATGGCAATTAAATGAATATATAAAACCTACAGAAAAAAGTCATTAAGGACCACACAGAAAAAAATATGTCATAAAATATACAATTCTCTTTTTTTCTTGTATAACTATCACATTGGCAAAAAAAAGAAAAAATACTGAAGCAATACCATCCTATGCAACCATACATCATTGTGGTTTGTGCAATAGATAGTCCAAAAGGAATTTAGACCTATTGGGACAGTAATAAATATTAATGTATGCTTTAAATGTTGTTATTTTATTTAACCTGCAATATCCTTGTCAATCAGAAATAGTGTGGCAGTTCATTTAAATGTACTTTTCTAAAATTAAAACTGCTTGATTAAGTTTTATCACAAATAAAAATACTAGAAAATTAATTAAATTATAATTGAATACGAATAGGTACATTGTGTTGTGTTTTCTTATGATAATTTGTGTTGATATTACATTCAGCATATTTTGTCTCCAATGCAGATTAACCTAAATCCACAGTATTAATAATTAAAAAATCTAAACCAAATAAAGAATAAAATACATAAAAAACACTCCCTGTATAAACCAATTCATTTTATTTAAAACTATTTATTTCAAAACCTTTATCTTTCAAGTAACCTTCAACGAAAACGAAAAAGTTAGAATATACATGCGCCACGCCCCTAACACCTGCAGGTGTATTCGCAACATTGGTCCCAGGTGCAAAATACAGCACATTATCGTTACGCGAGTTAGGCCAACCAATCAAAATTAGTGTAAGACCTACGTGTGTTGTCAGGCCAGAGGGGCAAAACGAAATGACGGCAGTCACTATTCTTCAAACGAACAAATAACATGTAATAAAACTAATTTAAAAGAGCCGGCTTTGGCTCTTATTAACCTTCCGGGACTGGCGTGAAATTTTTGTGATCCGGCGATGGCGGCGGACTGTGAGTCCGCATTAAAATTTGAGCCAATTATGAAATAGTTTGCAATTATTTTTATTTATTTATTTATTTAAAAGCATCAAAAATAATTAAACAACATTAATTTTGCAACAAAAAAGCATAAAGGAACATGTATTTTAGGCATTATTAGAAATACATCAGAAAAGTTTAACATTCTTAAAACTAGCTACTAAAAACATAAAATCAACGTAATATGAACAAAAAAAAAATAAACTTATTATAAAACTATTCACTGTGACATTCCAAACATATAGGTGTCAAATGTTCCAGACACATGAAGTTTCCACATATATTAATAGTGTGGTCAAAAATGGGATTGGCAACTGGCGGCGGACTCTCGCTCCGCTATCTTTTATAACATAAGAACAAAAATACACCCACGCTTCAAACTGTGAGATACTACTACTAATTTAATGCTTAAAGAATATAGAAATGCACTGATTTATAATGAATCTCACATTCGCACACGAAGGATCATATAAAGAACTTTTGGAATTTGGAAAAGGAAGTTTCCTATTTTAGCTTATGGGTGTAGACTAAAACTTGAAACTACATTAGAAGTTATTGTAGCAACTACAGTTCTTCACAATATTGCAAAAAAACATGGGTAAAGAAGAACCTCCATTACCAAATGATATTGAAAATAATGAGTTTCAACAATTATTAAGAAATGGAAATATTCCCATTATACATCCTAATGGGAGAAAAGTTTTTGCAGAAAATTTTGTTAGGCAGAACTTAATTGCAAATTATTTCAATATGTTATAAGATTATATTATACAGTGTCTATGCACAAGGATAATTAAAAATTAAAGTTTGCTTTTACCCGAATTTTTATTGATAATACATAAAAAACCTAACATTAAGTTAAGTTTAAGGAAAATTCACAAAAAACCTAATATATCTATATTAATCCAAAGAATAGTTTTACAAGTTATGTTTAAGGAAAACTCTCAGAAAACCTACTATTCCTATATTAATTCAAAGAATAGTTCTACAATTTATGTTTAAGGAAAATTCACAAAAAACCATGTCATACCTAATATTAATTCAAATAATAGTTGTGCAAGTGTTAATCGACAATCAATAAAACACCTTAATATACCTATTTTTAATACTTACATAAAGACACCATAATATTGAAGAATTACATATATATCCCAATAGTTCCGGCACAAAACATTTAACCGTACATATTTGTAACAAGTAACTTTATTTAAACTTTTTCTATTTGCTATAATTAACTAACAAAATTATTAACTGAAGAGGCCCAACTTTCTGCAAACATTACTTTGTCTTTTGCTCTTCTTTCTAATCTATGTGCTCTTTCTCGGGTGAAAATTCTTGGTTTTGCACTTTTTGGAAGTTTTAGACAAGGTATTTCTTGTTTACAATAAGCTATAGCACAGTAAATACTTTGGTTTTGAAAAATACGAATTATTTCAGGCTTACTAAACCGTCCCAACCAAATTTTAAATGATTTTTTTAATTTATAAGAAATTTTAATGCAACTAAGATAAAAAAACGACTTTTCTAACTAATGTCAAGAAAATAAATATTTATTTACAAAGTCATTTTGTTATTTATTATTATAACCAATTTTAAAGGCCTCTAAATTATATGTGTCAAAACTATTGGGACAATGTTATTAAATAAGAATAATAAAAATGATACTACAATATAATTAGTAATAAGATACAACAGATCAACTAGTTTCGGCTTATGTGGCCATCATCAGACATTTAATAGAAAATGAAGTGGAGAAAGTATATGATTATATTTTACAATACTTACATAATACGAAATAATGTTATGCAGTTCAACAGGAAATACAATTCATCCATCCAGTGAAAGAAATTGATATAAGTGAAAATCAACAAAAGAAAATGTTTGCATCCACTGAGTTGTAACTATAGTACTCCTTACTTTCTATTAATGCTCATAAAGTTTATTCTAATATTTTTAACCTTTTTATTTAATATTCGATACTATCCTTTTTATATTTGTACCATCATACAAATTTTCTTTTGTTGATACCCAACTTTTAAAAGTTTCGTTATACCACTGGAGGGATGCATTTTGTATTATTAAACTTTCTACCATTTCATATCATGTAAGTATTATAAAATGTAATTACACTTAATTTTGTATTATAGGCCTGATGATGATAATCACATAGGCCAAAACTAGTTGCTCCATTGTCTTTTAACTATTAAATTATATTGTAGTATACTTTTATTCTTATTTAATAAACAGGGTGTTTCAGAATAAAGTACCGTAAAGAGGGTGACTTGTAGATCTTAATTAATTATTAAGAAAACCTCAATATAATTTTCCTGTAAACGTCCCAGTTTTCATTCAACACCTTACGGTAAAGACTTTAACTTAAAAATATGTATATGTTTGTTAATTGTCGTTACTAGTTAATACACTCTATTTCGATAAATTACAATAACCAATTGCGTTTCGGAAAAAACAGGCCTGCGTTTGGGAAGATTTGCCTGCCTCAACAGATACCTTTTTGGCAGTCGGTTGATTCTGCCTATATTTTGGAATAAGTTTTGGATTCAGTGCTGATTTTAAATGGTATCTTTAATAATTACCCCAATTTATAGTATTATGTTAATTTACTTCAAAATCCTGGAACAATGTTTAATTAACACTTGCAAATAATATTGTTTAAATTAAATATTTTTAAGAAGTGTCAGTCAAATTACCTACTTGTAATCATGTAGTTTACATTCCATGTTTAGGCTTAATTTATCATTAATAAAAATAATGTTAATAGCTGGCGCAATGCACAGTATGGGGCTAAGTAAACTGCAGGATTACCCGACTTGCTTATTTATATACCTTAACTTCACTTTCATCTTTTTTATTTTCTTCTTCATATTGAATTATAATTTTCTCTTGTTCATTGTCTTCCTTAATACTAAAGTCAATTGTATCAGGATCTAATGGATTGTGTAAACCATACACTGTTGTAGGGTTCATGATTGACAGTGCAAATTCTTTATTTGGATCATTAAAAGTATCCCCGATCCCCCTCTTATGCAACGAATTGAAGCTTTTTCATTAGCTTTTTCTTTGCGTATATTCATTTTAATGTTTTAATGTTATCATACAATTTTTTTAAGCAATGTGCTCTCTGTATTCTTGCTCTTTTTGTTCACCATTGTACTGATCTGTTATTTTCTCCCAAACAGTTTCTTTTTCTTTCCAAGTTATTTTGTCCTTTTTTTTTTTGATTCCATAATATGCTTAAATTGACTAACTATATTTAAAAGCAAGGATTTGTCACTCTTTCTAAAATTTTGCGACCTTCGTCATTTTATGGATCCGGACTGTTCTAAAATATAGAAATTGTTCAGTTTAGTTAAAATATCACAAAACCCAGGTAACTAAACTAATTTCAAGTGAATATTTTTTAATCTTCTTGACTTATAAAACTACAGTTATCATACTCACCCATATCTAAGCAATTGAATATTTTTTCTATGGAAGAAGTATCTTTGCTTACAATAAATTATAGAAAAATAACCCCTTACACTTAATACAATAAATTATTTCCCTCTTATTAAGTTTATTTGTCTAAATTTTAAATACTGCCATACATAAAATAATGATAATAAAATATATATTTTATATAATCGTATCATAACCTCACACATCTGTAAAAAGCACTTTACTGAAGTTAGTCACAGATAAATTTCAGTGGCTACCTTTGGTAAGAAAAACTACAATCAGCTTGGTGCAATGAAACAAGGTGGAACTTTTCTAAGGAGAACAATTAAATGGTGATGATGCAAACATTTGTTAGTGTCTCGGCCTGGGTATTGACCATAAATACCTCGGGACATAAGGGCTGCGTTCAACACTTCAATTTTTAGATTTCTTCTTTATAAAAAACATGTCTTAACTGAAAGTTAAGCAATCTCAAAAGACCTATAAGGGGCAGAGCTTAAGTAAATAACCTCTTCCAATCTGTGAGTTTCAGTAAATAACGTGTCTAAAGTCCTTTGTGTGTTAATAATATTTTTTTTTTGTGTTTATTAAATTTTCTTTTATTTTGTTTAATGATTTATATTTAATTATAAAATTTCATAATTTAATATTTTTCTTATTAATAATTTGGTCTTAACTATGAGTTAAGCAGGTAACTTCCTTCAACTTGGAAAGTGTTAAATGTTTATTGTGTTTCAACATTAAATGTTGATGTTTAGATATAGGTGCGGATATGCAGATTATATTTTTATATATTCTTTTCCGATTTCACTGTTTATGTAAAAGGTAGAAATTAAGATCTCCATATTTTTGCATACCATCTTGCATAAGCGTCCTTCGCCTGGTACCAAGCTAACGACCGACCGTGCCATCTGTTGATGAATATATTTTTTTTGGGTTCATGCATATGACATATACATTATTTTAATTTCTTACCATATTTAGCTATGTTAGTTTATATATGAAATCATCAAAAACCATAAGGTAAATTTGCAACTCTAACTTTTGAGTTTGTTGTTTGTTTGTTTCTTAAATATAGTTGTTTAAATTGAAATTGTTAATTATTGGGAAAATTGGTGAATTTTTTATAAAGGAACATAAGTTGAGGTTTGTTTTTTATTTTTTCCTCATTTACTGGGTTTGTGGGGAAATATGAGCATTGTTGAAAATGAGAGTAATAGTTAGTGGTTTTGTATATTTTAATGATTGACAATATATGAAGGGTCAGGGGAAAAAAGCAGGTAAGTCTATTGTTGTCGAAACTGAGAAAACACATTTTTAATGTCCAAAACGATACAGAATTTGTATAAGTACTAATACAAGACTTATTGATGCAAATAACTAAACCATTGTATTCTAGTAAAGTAAAAAAAGCTGAAAAACACACAGGGTGTTGCCAGATCGCTGCAGTGTCCCAAAAACCATGAACGTTTCCAACCTGAAAATAACACGCATAATTAATAAGTAAAGAGAAGTCTAGCAAAATGTTATTATGGTGATCGCCACAATATGTTTACATTACAAATAATATTTTTTAACTTACAATTACTTAATCATGAGGTAATTGACGAAAAAATTCCACAGTAGTGGGGGCACAAAACTTCATTAGGCTTTGCAGATCTTTGAATTTTGCACTGGAAATTGGCAGGAGACCTGAAAAGAATAAGGCATTCGTTAGAAAACTCACTGTATTAATTCGGTGAAGGTGGTTTTGTTATTAGTACATACCGTTGTAAGCTGGAGGGGGAAGTTCAAACAATCCATCTTCTAATGATTGCTGACATTGCCGGGGTGACCTTATAATGCCAGTCAGCCTAGGTCCATTGAACGTCGTGCGATATTCTAGCAAGCGACTATGACTGGTTGAATAATTTATTATTTTAATAGGCTGCGTTCTAAAAGGGCATTTAGCTATGTACTTTGATGGCAACATTTTCTTCCAATCCAGTATAATTTTTTGGGAAACGCTGACAACAGTAAAAGAAGATGGTTTCGTCCGTGATAATTTCACCATTTCTTCGAAATCCTTAGGTATTTCCATCAATGTTTTTAAGTTCCATAAACCAGCGTTTTTGTCGCACTCCAAATATGAGTGCCCACGAATAGGAAATGTTATTTTGATATCCGTAAGGCCATGAATTTTATTGTTCGTTATGTAATGAATGAATTTAAATATCGTGTAGTTTTTATTCTGCCCCCCTGCAGAATCGCAGAAAATTTCCAGTTCCTGTACTTCATCGTCCAAATAATTCATGATGAAATGGAATAGAAATGAGGCCACTTCATTCGGCCCTTTTTTAGCAATACCTTCGTGATACACGTAAAAAATGGATTCACTAGTTGAAAGAACGTGAACATTAAAGGAATACATAGCGAGCTGCCGTTTGTAGTATACGTCGTTAGTAGCTATATTCGGCAAGGATATATTTTTTGCAAAATCTATGCATATGGCTTCTTTCTTCTTATTTTTTTTTTGCTCCGATTTTGGATTTTTTTTGAGGTTGTAAAAAGTTTCTGCTCTTTTTTTATGAAGGATATTCATTGCTGTTAGCTGCTGAATCTGTTGTTCATTTCTTTTCACAGATAACGCTTTAACCTTTGCCGTATATTCATCGCACACTGCACAAGTATCCGTACGCGGATATCCAAAAGAAATATTGAACTGCGTGTTGAACATTTGCCTGTAAGTGTCGTAAGACACAACTGCTGCAGGATGTAGTTCTTTGAATAGTTTGTACATTGTCTTTATGTTAAGGCTTTCTGGCAAATAAGTTTTGGTTGAGTCTTTAAGACTGTAATGACTCTGGCGAGCTTTGAAACTTTTGATATGACTGGCAATTAAAGCAGCAGTAGCCTCATTGAGCTGCCTGTGTTTCTTGGAATGCTTACCCCTTTTATCCATAGGTGCAGAGCCCGTCGATTTTAAACTTTGCTGTAGATAGTAAAGTTTATTTTTACTAATGCCATGAAATGAGCAAAATGCTTTTGCACATACACTAATATCTACCACGTCTCCGTTGTCTTTAGTGACTCGAACTCTGTAGGCAAAACTAGCTTCCCGTAACTTTGCCACTTCTTCAACATTTCGAGGTCTTCTCTGTGCCACAGGCATAACGGTGATTAATCCTGTCAAGTACATGTTTTGCTAGTTGTGAGACTGTAGCGGGTTAAAGTAGCCTAATAGGCTTTTTCTATTATTTTCAGTAGTTATATTGTAACATTTAAATCGTTTGCAATGGCAAGGGTCACCAGCTTCATGCGTGGAAAGTTTTAATTTTTTATTTACCTCAGATATTCGACCTGTTTTCTTCCTTTTTTGGCTCACTATGTAGCTTAATACCTTCATCCGAGCTTGACATCGTGATATAATTATTCCCAAACAAAGCTTGATACGAGACACTCAAGTTAATCCACAATTCTTAAACGTAAACAATACGATGCGACCCTTGCAAAATCTAGCAATGCACTGATGCGTTGGCAGAACGAGCGAAATCAGAGTTGTGAATTTGTTGACTAGCCTGCTTCTTTTCCCGTCTCAAGTGACTTACCTGCTTTTGTTCCCTTATAGCCAAACTTTGGCGCCGTATATCTTCTGACTAGAGTGTTTTTTCCCAGTTCCGGACTTTCGAAAGATACATACGCTTATTTTGTGCCCAATACAACTGTTCACTCGATATTAAAAAAAAATGACTTACCTGGTTTTTTCCCCTGACCCTTCATATATCGTCGGTTTGGTGGAATAGTGTCACATCTCAATATATTATTGTGTTGAGAAAAGACAGTTTAATTTTTTTTTAAATATTATGCCAATTTACTAGATTTTGGGATTACTGAATGGAATTGATCTTGCTTCTTTTAACTACTATATTATATAGCTCCCTAAATTACTAACGGAGGCCACGTTAGTTAGTAACTAGGTGACCCTATTGTGTTAAATTTAATTACTTAACCCTTCAGTTTTGAGTTATTACATTATTACAGTAAGACAGAAGTGGTTTCGGTAAAATAAGCTGTGACATTCTTTATGCAGCTATGTTTTATTAAAAATTTATTTACAAGTTGTTATAAAATTCTGAATAGTAGCGGGGAATCGCATTGGATTTTACTAATTATAACAAGTCTTTTTTTATGGATAAGTATTCTCGGTATCACAGTTAATGCTTTTTTCATGACAATGTTACACGAAGCACTTGAAGATTTTCGCGAAGAACTTCAAGTGATGAGACATTCTTGAAACTGTTGGTCTTGGTATGAAGTTTTTACGAACAGCGATGAGGGAGAATTCTCAGCCTTAACAACTTTTATATCTGTAATTTTAATTCGCTGGTTACCGTCTAAAGACCTAAGCTGAAATCTCATTTGATTGTTTAGGCCATGAAAGTCATTAAACTCATCCCAAAACATTTCCACCACTTTATAAGGTTCAAACTTTTTTTAGCTGCTTGAATGCTAAAAGTCAGTGCGTCAGAATTGTATATTGGTCCGCTTCTTAGTTGTTTTTTAATCTCTTTCTTTATTGTGGAGTGGACAGAATCACCCTCATTTTGAGTAAGTCCTTGAATTAAAAATTTATGCATAATTGACGAAATGTTCAAGTTCTGTACAACATACAGGTACATGCAAAACATGTACTGATTTTTTTGTTGGCCCGGACAGTTGTCCGAATAAAAAATAATTTCCTTTTCTTCCCCATCGTGTGGTGCTACTTGTTCAAGATATTTGTAAACGCATATGCCTAGTTCATTTACACCTCTTTTGCCGAGCCCCTTATGCTAGACAAAACAAGTTGAATTTTTTGTAAACATATTGTAAATGCTAAAATTGAAAACATTCAATTTTGATTTGTAAAAAAATATTGAAGCATTTCCCTCAGGGCATTGAAACACTGCTGCCAAGTGGTATATTACAAGGACAATATTTGAAACGTTGCAAACTTTTCTTTTATCTTTTATCTGAATTTTTCTCGGCTCTTGCCAGATCCTTCTCTACCCAGTGTTTGTCGTAGAGGTCCTTCCTCTCGAGTTTTTCTTCTGGAGTGGAATTTTTAAATGTGACACATTCATTGCACTGATCATTCTTTGGAATAAATGGATGACTATTGAACTCCTCTGTGAAAATCTTATAAAACATTCCGTATTTACAGGAAGGAAAATTGTTATTTTTACATTTCTCTTCAAACTCTCTATGCAGTTTAGCAATGAATTTATTCCCTTCCACATAATGTCGCTTGGACTCCGAACGCCGATAATGACTTTCGACTTTTGGGTATTTTTTAATGAAGCTGCGAACTTGTTTTTTTTTATATTTTCGTCTATTTTGAAGTACTTTCCATGTCTTCCTCTAAGGTCTTCCATCGAAGCACCTTGACTTTGTTTCTTTTTTTTTTCGTAACTATTGTTATAACGCTATCATTGATGTCTAGAGTATTTCTAAAAAACACTTTACATACCTTTATTTTTTGTCTCTGATAGTAAAGTATGTAACGGTTGAAACCGTTATTTAGTCCCAAACATTGTAACGGTTGTAACCGTTTTCGTTATTTTGACACCAACATCTCTACACAAATGTCACTTGTCGTTTATGCCTTGTGTCAACAGTTGGCAATTCATTTAGATATATAGCTGTCATCGAGCAAGTTAAATTATTCAATTTTAATTATCTTTTATCTTGGACATCCGATGTTCTAATTGTCTTTAATATTTTTAATGACCGTCTGATTTTAAAGAGGTAAGTTTCTACCGATATTTTGTTGAAATTATATATTTAGTACAAGAATGTCTAATTAAAATGTCAAATTTGAAACATAACCTCAACACATTGAATCACACAAGAAATCACATGTTTAATATAATTTTATCTATTATTTTGTTAGGAAAGAGATACTATGCTTTACTATATTTAAATATGTTAAATAAGATTTTTACTATTCATATTAATTCTAGTCTCTGTGTAACTATTCAAATAATAGTTTAATTTGTTCATTTGATAGTAAAAAGCATCTTATCTGTTTCCTATATATACTCTTCCTAGTCCTTCTCTTGATATTTTTACCTTTTTCCTTGTAGCCTGGCTCTATCTAGATGGTTCAGTAGAGTTTCTATAGAAGTTATATCGATGATTTTATAGAAGTTTATCGAAAAAGATTGTTAGGAAGAACGTTCCAGCTGCATGTGTAGAAATATTGAAACTTAGAAGTTTGGTTCAAGCTACAGAGGTTGTTTCAAGTATTTCAAGAGGTTTAGTTCGAGCCATCCGAAGAAGTGTACGAGATTTAACTTTACCTATGAAGATTTATCAGTTGGTGATATCCAAGCCTATCATACGAATCCCCTGAACCTGCTCCCTGTTATACCACAGATACGTTTTCAATAAATCATTTAAATTTGAATATGTAAGTCTCTGTAAATTAGAATTTGTCGCTACCTTATTTAATTATAATATCTTAATGGTTAGTGATTTTCTATATTTTTATCACTAATCGATTGTCAAGTTTAGAAAGTTTTAAATATAGTGACACTCAACATTCTTTTTTAAAATAATACGAGTTGTTTAATAACCTGACCCACTCCCCAAAATCATAGATCTTAAAACACTATAAAAATAGATAAAATAACAAAATTATATTACAAAATGGCGCCTCAACTACTGGGTTAAATAACTCGTTACTTTGAAATAGATTCCTTATAACTAATTCACATAGGTATTTCACAGAGATTAATGATACTATGTTATGTTGATAATGGGGTGTTAATACACTGCGACCTAAAAGATCTATTGGGCCCCCTTCTGTCGCCACTGAACTAAGGAAATGTCTCAATGCCTATAGCGACCCTTCCAATCCTATTTTCTCAAGGAAGGGTAGGATTTAATGATACTAACTGCATGTCTTCTATATTTCAACTAATACCTTCTTACTTATTATTTTAACCTTTTCTATAAATCTGCATTATCGTATCGTCAAATTTTATATAATATCTGCATTCTGTACTAGGTTTAGTGTTTATTTATACATATTTTGCTAGTGATATATCTATATATTCATTATACACTGATAAAAGTGTATAGTTTTGGACATTTACCTAAAGTTGATTTTTGTGCCTATCGAATAAAATTTTTTTTTCGTTATTGATAAAATTTGTGCCTTTATTTAGTTAAAAATATTGCTTTTTACATTTTTTTTCTGACTGATATCTTCTTTAATAAAATGATTCCCAAACATTTAAAGACTCATGAGTTAACCTATAAAATTTTAATCAGAGGGGTAGACTTACCTTCTACTGTGGAACAAACAAGAAAGGTTTTGAGTGGTTTGTTATCTCAAGAGTCACACAATAGAAGTTTTTTAGAGACAAATAATCCTTATGATCATAAAGATGATATCACAGAAATGGAATATTTATTGTCAGGCCAGAATAATAAAAGCTATTGTCAGGCCAGAATATTATATCAAGCTTTTTATTCTGCTATTACCTACTCGACCCAAGTTATACAGCCTGTAGTCAATTATTTCCTTTTACACCATCGGAATATTTATGAGTCAGATCAGACATCACCTTCTAACTTTTAATTGTCTGCTACTGCTTATTTTTTTAAAGCAATACTGTCTGTAACAGTTACCTTAAATTTTGGTAATATATATTAGAGTTTTCTTTTTTCTCTTGATTGGAAGTAAATTTATATTTTGTTATTAAATTTGAGTAATATTTTAATTTGTTTGAACATTACCTTTCCCTTAAATTCAGTATTAAAAATACCTGAATTGACTTTGAACAATATTGTCTAGCATTTTATGTTTTTTCTTTATATGGTTAAGTACCTCACTATTGCATAACTATTTGATTCCGAACCAACTTTAAATTATATTTTTAATACAAGTAGTAAAAGTTTGTATATTTTTATTCTTTTTTCAATTATAATTTGAGAATTTATGCTTTTAGCAATATCGTTTGATACCTGTTTTCACTTTATATTGAAAATAATTTAGTTGAATATTGCAAAATTTCATATTTGGGTTAACTTTAGGTTAACAGAGAACTTGCATTACTATATTTTGTTTACCCAACTTTATTACTTTGTATATACCTTTGCTGATTTACAGCAATACGAAGATGTTTCGTATACTTTGCCTGATGTACTCAC